TCTGGCTTCTCACATTTTTCTTTCTCAGTGTAATGGCTGGCCACAAGCAGGAACACTGCCTCTAGTTCCTTCAGATCGCTCAGGGCTTCCTCATACGTGACATGCACCCCTTGCTGGTCCTGGGTGTGGATACAGCTGGCTTTCGTGCTGTAGGAGTCACCCTGGTTCTCCACTTCCAAGAACTCCATGAATTGGATACTGTGGACCTGGGGAAAGAAAGCCATGCCCAGATGTTACTGGAAAAGGGAGAGCTATATTTTGCCATCCCACATGGACAAGCAGCAGGCTTCTGTTCCCACGCAGTGGGCTGCGTGTATGAAGCTGTAAATATTCTGAATGTATAAAAAGCATAAAAAGCTGTATGCAGAAAACATATATTAACAAAGAATGTTGGCAGGAAGAGGTAGTTCCTGAGGCAGATAACTAGCTGATGAGTTTGTTATCTGACAAATCCAGTAGCCACTGGAGAAAGGCAGGCATAGAGCCTAGCGTGGTCTCTGAAGTCAGAATGTCCGGGCTCAGGTGCTGGTTCTGCCAGGATCTCATCCTGGGCAGGTCATTCAGCTTTTCCCAGCCTCCGCTTCCTCATCGGTAACGTGGAGACGCTAGAGACTACATTAGCTGCCGGGAGTATGTGACTCTGTGAGTGTGAGGCACTTGGAATCCTTCAACGTTAGTTAAAAATATTTTTGTTTTAATTCTATAAGTACTTCTAAAATACATTAGTACAGTTTCATGGCTTAGTAATGTACTAAGTTGAACAGTGCCCCCCAAAATTCATGTCTACCTGGAACCTGTGAATAAGAACTAATTTGGGAATAGGCTCTTTGCAGATGTAGTCAAGTTAAGATGAGGTCATACTGGAATATGGTGGGCCCTAATTCAATGACTGGGATCCTTACAAAATGTGGAGACAGACACGTAGGGGAGAAGGCCATGTGAAGATGGAGGTAGAGATAGAGGGTGAGTCAAGGAATGCCAAGGGCTACCAGCAACTACCAGAAGCTGGAAGACGCGGGGAAGGATCTCCTTTACAGCATTTTGGACTTGTGGCTCCAGATTATGAGGGAATGAATAAATTTCTGTCATTGTGAGCCACCCAGTTTGTGGCACTTTGTTTTGACAATCCGAGGAATCTAATACAAGTAAGGAGTATTTCAATCATAATGTTATTTTTCTTAGAAAACTGAGTGTCCACTCAGATTCCCTGAGAATCATTATTTTAATAATAATTACCACAATTTCAAACTTCTCCACTCTCCTCAAGCCTCAGAACTCCCTCCCAGGTGTGGTCTCTTCTTACTCCCAGCAGGAGCTTCTCCATGCCCCCCTCCCCACCGCCACCCCTCGCCACCCACCGGGCTCACACCTCTTCCCTCCTCCTTCCTCCGCAAGGTGGAAGACAGTGTTGCCCCCTTCTCTAGGGCCACTGCCTCCCACCTCAGCAGCAGCCCTGCTCCCTCGTGGATATCCCTCTCCTCTCCGCTGGACTTCTGACACTGGAACGTGCGCACGTCCCTCTCATTGTGAAACTTCCTCACACCCTTCCCCAGGTTCCACTGTGTGGCTCGCCTCGCATCACTGTCCAGTCTCCTACGATGTTATCTATACTCTCCATCTCCATTTCTTCACCTCTCACTCTTCAACCCATTCCCATCTGGCCTTTGGCTCCACCAAGCCACCCAAACCACCCTCGCTAAGACCAACAATGACCATTGCTCTACATCCAACAAACTTTCTTTCGTCATCTTATGTAATCTCTCAGGAGCATCTGACACAATTTAGTGCTTCCTGATTCTTGACTCACTCTCTTCTCTGGGCATCTGGGACTGACACTGTGAACTGTGTTTATTTTTCTCTACCAAGTCATTAAATGATGGCCACTCTCAAGCCGCCTCCTATGACCTCCTCTTTTCCTCCTCTGTTCCTTCCCTGGGAGGTGGCAGATACTTCCACAGCTGAGATTACAACCTTTAGACCATTTGCTCCCCAGTTTATGCCTCCAATCCAGACCCCCTAGAGCTCTGGACCACACATCCAATTATCTATTTGGCAACTGCTCCTGGGCATCTCAAAGCCCCCTCAATTTTAACAATGATAGAATCATTAAGTCTTCCCCCACAAACCGAGGCTATCTCCAGCCCCTTTTACTAAATAGCATCACCACCCATCCACTTGCTTAGCACGACGTCTCTTTCTGCCTCACCTTACATGTCCAATCTATCACCAAGTCCTGTTAGTTTTACTTCCTGTCTCTCAAATCCCTCCACTTCTGATATGGGAGGTGGGACAGGGAAGTGCTGGGTAGAGAAGGGTGGGGTTCCTGGTGAGGGCTCCACCTGTGTGTCTGTGCCCTCGGACCTAAGTGAGAACAGGTACTCCCATTTTTGTGCCTGAGTGTTTTCTTTTCCAAGACCACTTTGGCCCACCACACTCCCCCATCCTGTGCCCATATAAACCCATGACCTTATCGGACACACACACAAGAGACTGAACATTGAGAGGAGCAGAGAAACAGAGCAGCAGAGAGAGGCAAAGAGCAGTGGAGAGCAGCAGAGAGCAGCAGGGCAGCATGGCAGAGAAGGAGGGAAGAGGCATCTGAACGTCCAGAGGAGTTCTGCAAGAATGGCTGAACTCCAGCAAGATTATCTGCCCTGCCTCTTCATCTTCTGGCTCCCCATCCATCTCACTGAGAGCCACCTCTACCACTCAGTAAAACCTTGCACTCATCCTTCCAGCCGGCATGTGATCTGATTCTTCAGGACACTGGGCAAGAGCTTGGAATACAGAAAGCTGTCACACTGGCCCTCTGCCCTTGTGATAAGGTAGAGGGTCTATTGAGCTGATTAGCATTCAAGCAGACAGCAAAGCTGAAAGGGATTTGTAAGACTGGGGTTGCAGGCACCCACCCCTAAACACTACGGTGGGGCTGAGAGCCCAAAGCACTTGCTCTGGCCTCTGCACCTGCATGCGCCTCCTAGGGGTTTGAGCTGCAGGGCCATTGAACAGGCAAGCCTCATCCCTGTCACACATCCTACGAGGGGAAATCGGGGAACTATCCTGTTTCACTTCTTCCCATCTCCACTACCCACTACCCTAGTCCAAGCTATTATATTTCATGAGGACTAGTCTAGGACCTTTTAAACTGGTCTAGCCTCTTAAATGGTCTATGCATGACTCCTCTGGCCTGGGCTTTCCCTCCTCTCCATTTTACTCACTGCTGGCTAGGGATCTTTTACAAATACAGTTCTGATTGTGTCATTCCCCCTGCCCCCTTTTATGTCCCTAAGAGGCTTCCCATTGGCCACAGAATAAAGCAAAACTCTTTAACAGGGCCAAACAATCTGGCCCATCTCTCTAGTCCAGTGTTTCTCAGCTGAGAGTGATTTTGCCCCCAGAGGACATTTGGCCAAGTCTGGAGGTACTTCTGGTTGTCACAACTTAGGAAGAGGTACTGCTGGCATCTGGGTAGAGGTCAGGGATACTGCTAAATAACCTGTAATGGACAGGAATTATCAGGCCCCAAATTATCAATTAGTGCCAAGGCTGAGAAACTTGGAGCTAAGTTCCATTGTGCATCACCGTCCACCTCGTCTCTGTGCCCCAACCAGTCCTGTCTTCTTTTGGTTTCTTATGGGTGCCATACTCCCTCTGGCCACAGGTCCTTTGCACAGGCTGTCTCCACTCTATGGAATGGTCTCCTCTCCTTTTTACCTAATTAAATCCTTTTCATTTTCCAACCTCAGCTCAATCATCACTTCCTTAGAAACCCTCCTGCCCCAGCTTCCCCATAGTACTAAGGATCTCTCATTCTCTCTTTTGAGGAACTTGATATCCCTGTTTTACATCCATTTTTGTGATTTTTTTGACCAATATTTGTCTCACCCACTGGATTACAAAGTACTATAAGGTTAAGGAACATGGCTGTTTTTGTTCATCATTTTATTCTCATTGCTTAGCACAGGGCCTAACCCATAGTAGGTGCTTAGAAAATATCTGTTAAGTAAAAGAATGTATGAATGATTTTTATATTTGTGCATATAGGTTTCTTTGAGTCTATGATGTGTAATCTCTACTTGTGCTTTTAATATATGCCTGTCAAAAATCCTGTGTTTTGTCTTCATAGATTCTGATTTCATGTCACCATAGCCTAATATATACATTCTATATGAAGGGGAGAATGTTCAGAATGGAAAGTGGTTTTTGGAGGGCAAAAAACATCTCATTTTTTTAATATATAAAGTACAGATACACACATTGCACATAAGCAAATCTATGGCATATCTCTGGTGTTAATCTGGGGAGATTAGGAAAAAGAAAAGTCAAAAAAGGGTATTTGTGTGAGAAGCCATAATGAAAAAGTGGTTAAAAAACACTGGCCTAGATATCTATTTCTCTCTTTCTCTCTTTCCATCTATCTATCTATCTATCTATCTATCTATCTATCTATCATCTATCTGTATGTCTATTCTTATTATTGTAAAATACGTATAACATAAAATCTATCATCTTCCTTTTTAATGTATAATTTAGTGACATTAAGTACATTCATGTTGTTGTGCAACCATCACTATTCATCTCCAGAATTATTTTCATCTTGCGAAACTGAAACTGTGTACCCACCAGACAATAATTCCCCATTTTCCCATCCTTCGAGCCCCTGGCAACCACCATTCTACTTTCTGTCTCTATGAATTTGACTATGCTAGGTGTCTTATACAATGTCCTTTTGTGACTGGCATATTTTACTTAGCACAATCCCATCGAGATTCATACATTGTATAGCATGTGTCAGAATTTCCTTCCTGTTTCAGGAGGAATTATATTCCATAATAACTACGGAACTATCACATTTTGTTTCATCTGTTGATAGACACTTGAGTTGCTTCCACATTTTGGCTATTATGGATAATGCCGCTATGAACATAGGTGTACAAATATCTTTTTGAACCCCTGCTTTCAATTCTTTTGAGTATATATCCAGAAGTTTCTGGATAATATAGAAATTCTATTTTAAATGTTTTGAGGAATCTGCATACTGTTTTTCATAGCAGTTACACAATTTAGCATTTCTACCAACAGTGAACAAGGGTTCCAATTTTTCCACATCCTCACCAACACTTGTTATTTTCCGGTTTTTGTTTGTTTGTTTTTGAGATGAGTCTCACTCTGTCACCCAGGCTGGAGTGCAGTGGCATGATCTTGGCTCACTGCAACCTCCATCTCCTGGGTTCAAGCAATTCTCCTGCCTCAGCCTCCTGAGTAGTAGCTAGGTACAGGCGTGTGCCACCACACCCGGCTAATTTTTGTATTTTTAGTAGAGACAGGGTTTCACCATGTTGGCCAGAATGGTCTTGAACTCCTGACCTCAGGCGATCCTCCTGCCTCAGCCTCCCAAAGATCTGGGATTACATTGTGAACCACCAGGCCTGGCCTATTTTCTGTTTTAAAATATATATATATAGAGAGAGTATTTTTTATATTTTAAAAAAATAATCTGATTTTCTTAGTTGTTATTCATGAGTCATTTAAACTGTGGAACCACTGGTTCCCAGTCTTTCATCTTACATCTATTAACTCTTTTAAAAACTATGCTAAGTAATTAGTTGTATAGAATCCCTTTATCTATAAATTTTAAGCAGTCATATCCTGGCTCTCTGAAGACCTATCAACTGCTTTGTGCGTGTGGCATTGCCTATAGTACAACTATAGGAACACTTTTGGAATCTTAACAAACAGAGCAGATTGTCATCTGCTTAGATTGTTAACTGCCAATATCGGAAAGGTGGATGGGGTCGCTCTTTGGGTCCCTTCACTTCTCTGGTTGTATAATTAGTTTTTATGTGCTGTTTCTTAACCATTCAAACAGAAACGTAGACACCTTCTAACAAGTAAATGTGAGCATTTCTAAACAATAGCTATGGTTCATAATATTTCGTCAAAAGGATACTTCAGAGCTCATCATTCCTCCAGCAGTGTCTTTTGTTTTGCTTTGCTTTTTGCTCTGCTTTAAGCATAAAACTTTCTAATAATTAGTAGCTTCCTTTGACTAGAATTCCAAAAATGAAATTATCTTTTCTTTTTTTTTTTTGAGATGGAGTCTCACTGTCACCCAGGCTGGAGTGCAGGGGTACAATCTTGGCTCACTGCAACCTCCACCTACTGAGTTCAAGCTATTCTGCCTCAGCCTCCTGAATAACTAGGATTACAGGCATGCACTACGGTGCCTGGCTAATTTTTTGTAGTTTTGGTACAGACAGGGTTTCACCATGTTAGTCAGGCTGGGTTTGAACTCCTGACCTCAAGCTGTCCACCTGCCTCAGCCTCTCAAAGTGCTGGGATTACAGGCAAGAGCCACTGCGCCCGACCTGAAATTACGATTTCTTACAAAATGATTAGTACCAGTGGAAAATAGAAAAGATGCTGAGAAAATGACATGTTCCATAAAAAAATCAAACAGCTAAGATATATAAATTACCATGTTGGTTTCTATTAGCATTTAGCTCCTGTCTCTTGTTATGTAAAATGAGCTTGCCTTTGAGGAAAAAAGAAACAGCTTAACGTGTTATACCTTATTCACTGTACTGGAAAAGACCTTTCCCAAAGTTCTTGTACAGCAGAATTTTATAAGACTTTCAGGCAATGGCAACTGGATTAAGTTCTGAGCTGATGAAAAGCAATAGTATTGTCAAGATGCCAACTCTAATGCCATCATCTATTTAAATGGTCATTTTTCCACTTTCCCATGCACATCCCATCATCCAAACCCTTTACAAAGGCATACATATTCTTTCTCTTTCTGCCATAATTTGCTCTCTCCCTCCCTTAGTCCCATGTCTCTGAAATACATACTTATGCCACAGGGGATGCACTTTAAAGACCAGATGACCAAATTGCTTCATGCAGGGTTATGGCTCAGTAACTATAATGTTTCTTTATTTCCTGTTTATTTTCATTTTTTCCACAGTCATGTGGAAGACCCTCCCTCTAATGGTTTTGTGGTCTAGAGGGTTGATCCTTCAATATTATGTTTGGAGGAGTGGCAGAAGGAAGAAGGCAATAATTATCTGTTGGGGTAAGAAATAATATGACCTTTGCAATGACTCATATGTTTTTAGTTTGAAAATTAACTGATGCCAAGATGACTTTTGCCGAATATAGTAACTATAGAAAAATTGGTGGCCTATCATTCCTTTCACGATAGTGGCTTCTGCCATCACTTGTTAATGTGAATTTTAGGCCTTTCGGCAATATAGACAATACTTCTTTTTCTAGTTTTCCTTTTTCTAAATCATCTTGCATTAATTTTGGATAATAATAATTTAGCCTAAGAATCCCACCAAGATGTGTTAGGTAAATGACTCAACCTATTGGCTACAATCTTTTAAAAAGAAAATCATGTTTTCTGCTCTGCTTTCTAGTCTGTAGAGTATATTATTCTTATCACAGTTCTGTGTTTGAACAGCATGATATACTTTGCAAAGCACTTTCATGTGCATGGTCTTTTTGTAACCTCACAACCATTCTGTTATAAGCAGAGATTTTCTTGTATCAAATGAACATTTGATACCTACAATGTGAAAGATATATATCCAGCTCTCTACCACCTTTTGCCACCTGAACATCGTTAAGCATCTCAAACTTTTCATGTCCTGTACTGAGATCCAGATCTTCCCAACAAATCTGCTTCAACCAAATCTCAGTTGATGGCAACTCTAAACTTCCAAATGATTGGGCCAAAGCTTTGGAATCAAACTTGACTTCTCTACCTGGAAATCACGCCAGCTGTACCTTTCAAATACAACCAGATATGTTCTGGAAGTCTGTGGAAG